GATTAAGGAAAGCGTTATTTATTTACCTACAAAACACAAAATAAAAAAAAATAATAATTTGATGTAAAGTAATGTTGCTACACAAAATGTACAGTAGGTGGCGGTATGCTGCTTAAAGTAGCCTACGATCCGCCATAATAGAAAAGAAGAAGAAGAAGTGACGCTGCAGGGGGAGGAAGGCCGTTTGGGTGCTCTGGTGTTAGAAGACTGATTTAAAAATCTGTTTATGGCAACTTAACGGTCAGAGATTGTGTTCATTAATCCCTCCAGTGGCGGCCTGGAACTGTCACAATGTTGGCCTCTAGCTACAAAGACGAGGACGGACACATCAGCGTGTCTGGATCCGGAGCTGCGGCCGCGGCAGGGGGCGGCTCCCTGCGGAACAAGAAGCCTGAAAACACCGCGTTCAAGCAGCAGAGACTCCCGGCCTGGCAGCCCATCCTGACCGCGGGGACCGTCCTGCCTGCCTTCTTCATCATCGGCCTCATCTTCATCCCCATCGGCATCGGCCTCTACGTCACGTCCAACAATATCAAGGAGATCGAGGTAGCCATGTTTGTTATAGAGTCACTAAAAAAAACCTGATTCATGATACCTCCCGCCAGACTCCATTCAAAAATCAGCTATTTTAGGGATATTCCTTTTTTGGCGTGTTAATCAGCTCCTGTTGGCGTTACAGGGTGATTTACCTGAAAGGCAGGTTAGATCCGGATAATTCCGCAATAACAGAAATTATATTAAACATCAAAAGGAAACTAAACTCTGTTCAAAAGTCACATTTCATTCTTTCCTTTTTAAACTGCTCCAATTAAAATAACTTCTTTTTTAAAAACTTGTCATATTCTTTTATTGTTTGAAAAAGATCTTAATAATTTAAGATTTGGGGGAAATATAACTAAAATAAAAATACCCTCCTACCAAACTTCATTTAAAAAAACCTTAATTTTAGTGAAATTTAGTTCTGGTGTTTAATTAATGTGACCAGATTTCTGCAATCTAATCTGGACACATTTGCAGCTCATAGATAAAAATAAATACATTTTATCAAAAATTAAAATAAGAAACGGGGACAGTGGTGTTTTTATCCATTTTTACATATGTATTAATATTTAAACAAAAATCAAGTGTGAAATCCAGGAATGCGCCTCTTCCATTAAGATAAATATTAATCAATCAACAGTGGCGGTTCTAGACCAAATGTACCAGGGGGGCCAGGAGGGGGCCAGAAAAGCATGAAATAAAAAAACAGGCCAAGGGATTCAAATAAATTAAGATAGCTGCATGAAGTGAAATTTCTATTAAATTAAGTTTCATTAAAATTCTAAATGTCTTAATAGGTCAATATACATTCAGAATTTTTTTTAAAACTTACTTTAATTTGAAATTAAAGTTTTCTATAAAATCTGAATTAGAATTTAAGAAAAACTGTTAAAAATAGCTGAATATTTTTTTTTTACATTTGTTTTGGAAAAAAACATTTAGCAGATGAAAACTGGGCTCCTATCTTAATACCACTTATATGTTTTTAAACAGTTAATAAAACAGAATTTGTAAAGAAAAAAATAAAATAGATTCCAAAGGATTTATCAGTAGCCATGTCTGTTTCAGCGCAGATCATCATCAGAATTTCTTTAAGTATTATGTCTTCAGTACAGGGGCCATAACAGGACATGATCTATAGGGGCACTGGCCCCCGTTGGCCCCTGTCTAGAACCGCCCATGTCAATCAATATTATCTGGTCACTCAAATTGTGTTCAGGCCAGTTTGCATCAAATTGAAAAACATATTATTTTCTATATAAAGCTAACTATAAATAGAAATGGCCTCCAGTTGTTTCTATTGTATCCTGGTCAGCTGCAGAGCATTGGGTCGCCTCCAGCAGCCTAGATTAAAATCTGTGTCACTATTAAAAAAGTTAGGTTAGATTTTTATATTCAGATTAAATTAAAACACATCTACAAAGCCGGATCTTTCTCATGCAGCTTGAAGCAGCTGCACCAAAACTACATGTTTTGTCATTACACGTTTAGATGAATAAACAATAAGATCTCAGGGCATAAAAATAATCTGTCCTTTAATAAACTTATAATGCAACCTAAGAGGAATATATCTTCACAATCCTATTTTCTATTCATAGATGCAGCTGTGCTTTTTGATTTAAATAAGCTGTTATTTTTGTGATTAGATATAAATGTAAAGATATGATCCACAACAAAAAGTAAATATTAGGGCAGAAGCTGCACATCTGCTGGATCCTGATGGGGATTTTATTTAATATATCCTACTAAATTAATGGTTAATTTCCGCATGTTTTGCTCCTATAAATTTAACAATAATATGGCTCATGCTCTCCTTGAGCTCCCAGGAAGTCGTAGAGGACCAGCGGAGGCTGTAGGCTTTGCTTTGCGCAGCGGAACGCATACGGAGGACGTGGGATTTCGGTATAACTGCGTCCAGCCGACTGTGATAACGAACTTCCTCGTCTGTTTTGAAACGTGCATTCTGCTCCTCATCTGTACGCTAGGGGTGGGTATTGCCAAAGAAGTCACGATTCTATTCGAATCACGATGTATCACGATACTTGAATTATTGCGATACATTGCAATATTTTCTCCTCCATGTTTTGTTTTTGAACGACTCGGCGCAGTATCCCGCGGCCGGAAATGCTTGTGACACAAGGCAGCGTGCGTCAACACATCCGCAGCGACATCTGCTGGACTGGAAGTTGTATTACACTTGTTTTTGGCTGCTGTGCGACAACCATTCATGCAATCTTGGCGAAAAGAATCGATGCAGTAGATCACGAAAATTAGAATCACAATGCATCATCATGACGATTATTTTGCGCACCCCTACTGTATGCTAACAGCTGTTTCTGTGCGCAGCATGCTAACGCGCTCCTTCTACCATAATAACAGTTTATATGCAACATTTTCCCCCTCGTTCATAAAATCGGGGACATTTCTGGGGACCGGTGGTCAAATGGGGACTGTCCCCAGAAATCAGGGATGTCTGGTCTCCCCATATTTAATGCATTTTTTTTTCGTATTGGTATAGAAATAACTTCTTTATAAATAAGAGGAGATGTGACATATATTACAGCCCATCAGTAAGTTATCAACCGAAAAGATAATTACTCAAGCAACCATTATTCCCGTTACCATGACGACATGGGTTAAGGGTTCAATGACAGAGGCTCTGTCTTCACTGCATCCATTTGTGCTTTTCAGATCGATTACACGGGCGTAGACATGTCCAGTCCGTGCTTCAACTGCTCCCAGAACTTCAGCTGGAACAGCACCAAGTCCTGCACCTGTTCCATCCCCTTCCAGCTGGACCAGCCGTATGAAGTGGGATCCGTTCTTCTCCATGTTCTGTTGCATCCTGGGAAGGGAAGCCGTTAAGTTTTCCCTTTGCTTTAAACCCACAGAGCAACGTCTTCATGTATTACGGGCTCTCCAACTTCTACCAGAACCACCGCCGCTACGTGAAGTCCAGAGACGACAGCCAGCTGAACGGGAACGAGGAATCCCTCAGGGTACGATCTTCCTCTGAGCGGTTAGGACGCCTTCAGGCGATGTTTTTAAAGATGGAGGCGGCGCTTTTTAACCTTTCTGAATGTTTCCATCACAGAGCCCCAGTAAGGAGTGCGAGCCGTACGCCAGGCACGACAACAAGCCCATCGCGCCGTGTGGCGCCATCGCAAACAGCATGTTTAACGGTGAGACCCTGAAAAAATATGGAGGGAAGTTTGTTCCATTATTGTTGCAAAAAACACCTTTTGGATAGTTTTTTATTTTCAAATACATT